CGCGATAACACCTCAGACTCTGTTGTGATCTCCATTCTGCATTTGCACATGGATACAGTCCCCTAATTGAGAGACTTTTTTTTTTTATTAAAAGCATTAGACATTTATATGTAGGAATAACACTTGCAGAGACATTCTCTAGGTTAAAAGTTAAAAGGGATGTCAATCATCATACTTCAGAACATAAACAGATTGCCAGCGTGGGTTGAAAAGGAATTTTCCCCACACAAAATCATAGAAGTTTGCAATAGAAAAGAACTAATAGGTCAGCTAATCTATCTACCTGCCAATTCAAGCTTCTTCCACAACATGTATTTTGCTGCTCCTTTGGCCTTTCAAAAATCTCAAGCGATTGGACTGTTAATGCTTACCCACAGAGATTATACAGTTGTTTAGTGGAACTAGTTTGCTCTCCAGAATTTTTCAGGTAGACAGATTAAACTTTATTTTTTTACCTTCATCCCACTAGTCTTAATGGCACTTCCATCTATCATATTAAATAACATTTCTGTCTTGACTTATTTTTCACACCTTTCCATTAAATATAAATTGCTGCCACGGCCTGTTTGATGATTCTTACCTAATCTACTACATGCCTTTAGCTAAATAAACAATTCTTTTCAGTATGACCTATGTTTAATATTATACTCTTGTAACTACAATGTAAATGAGAACAATCAGCTACATCATGACTGTAGGCAAACTAGAGCTTCTGAATATATAAATGAATACGCATATATTTGTCAACAAGGATATCCATATATGTGGTAAACTCGCACCCATGCAAAATGAACATGCAGCTAACTATAATTTCCAGCAAGACAGCTCTTTCAGCTACATGAACTTTTCTACGGTACTCTTTTCTGTTCTGAAATTCTTTGTTCAGGAAGGAAGATAGCTTTCCAAATAAGGTGTCTGTTTCTTCAGACCAAAAAAAATTGTTTGGGGATTTAGAATAATGAAGAATTTTCAATAAAATAAAAAATACAGATAAAAGCTTTAGTGTTTGACAGGGAGGTTAAACAGGTAAAAGAGTGCTGTCCCTTCCAGGGCCACTTATAAATTATCCCACAGACCACGAAAATCAGTCAAACCAGAATTCTCCAGCAGGTTTTAAAATTCTCATATTCTAGCTTGTAAACAATGGGAAGACAAAAAATGCACAGGTAACCCAAACAGGCATAGGAATACTTTGCCTTGGTCTCAAAGAGATACATACTCTTGCAGATGTGACAGTAGACATGGTGAGAAAGAACTACATTGCTGTCCAAATGTATCATATGTGAATCTTCTGTTACTTGTGGGATTAGTAACATGTTAGAAGAATGAATTGGAAGGTATAACTCTTCTTGTACTCCGTGCTATTGTTACAGCACTTAGGAGTCAGAAAACCAACACAGAAAATGTCAACTCCTGTTGCAAACAGCTTGCAATTATCCAGTTTCTGTTTCCCAAGACAACTCTCCACTCTTTGATAGCTCATATCATCATTTTTCTAGAGCTATGGCTCTTGTAAGTGTAAGGCTTTACTACAGAGATATTTTGAAAGTCTTGAGGTCAAATTCCAAGCAGCTGTTATAAGATAAAAGTGGCCAGTGACCTTCACTGCACTGCCTAGCTCTCAAGATACTTTCAAACTTTGTTGACCTAAGGTGATCAGTAGTCAAGGCTGTTAATACAGCAAACAGATTGCAGTGGTTCTCCTGTAAAAGTGTGTTGAAAAGTACAATATAGAACTTTCTATTTTAGATCAGTTTCTATTATAATTCTAACAAGCAAGTAGGTAATATGGTTAAAATACAGGTGAGGAAATGGTTACTATAAAGTTAATATAAAGTATTCTAACTAGACACATTTCTGTAGCTCTGTTTTTATATTTCTTTGTAGATTGGCGTAAACACAATTAATTAATCATGAAAAGTAACTCCTACAGAGTAGAAGCAGGATTTTAGCTTCCAAAGTAACTTCCCTGCCAGACCTGAAAAATCTTATTCATTGTCAAGTAGTGTCACTCTTCTTAGCCAGCCTTTGCTACCATGAGGTGCAGCAACCAAGAACTGCAGCAGTCTGCCTGTTTTTTGACATGGATACAGGATTGAAATATACTGGGCTATTTGCACCATCTGGTACATGCATTTCAGTTGAATGAAAGCAGATGAACTCCTGGGCACTTTGGTGATGAAACACCAGGAGAAAAAGAAACAAAACCCAAGAGACGAAAAAGTGTTAGTGAGGAAAAGAAGCTGAATTGATCTCATTTCTGGACTACAGAAGGCCATCTTCTAGGTTTCCTCACACTTGATATGGGACTACATGTTTGACTCCTTGCACGTTTGGAGTGGGAATGCGTTAGATTAAGCAGACTGTTCTAATGATCTTTTTTAGTTTTGAAATCTAGGGATCTATAAATATGTATATATCAATGTTGCTGTGACTATGATTTGCAGCTGTCAATCAGTTTGTCTTTATGGCTGTAAATTTTCATTTCGCTAGATTTTTTTGCACAGTCTTCTGAAAAGAATAAAAGTCTACTCCACATCTCCACATTTTAGACAGAAGAGTAATACATGATTAACAGTATGGTGAGAGGTGTCACATTCACATTAACACTGATGTGTGAACCAGTGGTCAAATGGCAGATTACATGTCTGTCACAACACATCAGGGCAGTGTTCCAGTCTGCCAGCTTTACCCTGCCCAGCTTCTTCAAACAAAGAGTTCTTCTGAAAAATGTAGCACAAAAAGAATGTTGAGCCTTTGGGGGAAAAGAAGTCTATCTCACAGTCAAGTTTTTGAAGTCTTTGTAACATCAAATGGCAGAAGGGGTTACTCGCAGTCACATAACCTTGCAGGTTCATGGATCTCTATAGCACAAATGTTGCATAATGTGGCCTTATCAAAGATTTTCTGCATGATAACTGTATTACTGAAAAAGTACTATGGCTGGCATATTTTGATTTGGAGAAAGGATGCCAATTGTATCAAGGCTAGGAAAACTCTGACCCAGTTCCAAGACAAAAAGCAAGTTTTTGGAATACCATTTGAAGCAAAAGTTCCAGTTCACTGGAAATGTAATGAAAATTGTCCTTCTTCTTTGTCTTAAGGACAGAATTTTATTTTTTAAGCGGGTAATTAACAAGCTGCTTGACTTCTTACATAGCAAATAGTCACACCTGGAATTGAAGTGACTTTTAGTGGATAATGATGTCTGAAGCCAATATGTATAATGAAGAGTAACATATTTTCAATCCCTTGGGACGTTTACATATATTAAAAGCAAAATTTTAGACAATAATTGTAATATTGTTTGCAAAATCAAAAATATTTTCTCAGGGTTTAAAAATGCTTTCTAGGGGGTTGTGAATATCATGTTCACTTGAACAGTGCCTGACTTTTTATATGCTCTAAGTCCCAAAAGTTCTGCTAAATTTTCCTGGAAGTTAAATTGCTTGTTCCAGCAGTACTCTCACCACATTGAATGCATAAATTGGAAGATATCAAGGCTAAAATGCTTAAAACACTTAAATAACATAAAAGTTAAGTTCTATTTTCAAGAACACCCAAATTACATAGGTTTTTCTTTACAACATAGACCCATGTCAGCTAAAGAATATTATCTAAATACTATACTGGTGAATAGCTGGCATATGAGGCAGTATTTGGACACAGCCCAAAATGAGTAGTTAAGTATTGTCTTGGCTCATCTCTTAAATGTTAATATGTGTTTACTATATATAAAGGACTTGACAATAACCTCTTACAACATTTTAAACATTGACTTTATCAAAATCACTCCTGATTCACACAAAAACAAGAACTGGAAGATGGAATCTATGCATAGATAGGATATGGAAAAAGACACACACATGCGCACGCACGTACGTATATGTATATATACAAATGTGTGCATCTTCCATATGCTGTGTATAATCTCTCTGTGTAACATCAAATACATAGTCTACATTTCATAAAATATTACAAATTAATTTGTAGAAATTTACTACTCCTTATATGGCAGGTATTTGGATTTTTACATTGATTTTGTATGGAAACATACTACCATACAAATTATTAGCAAATCTAGTCCTTTGTATGATCATATAACTTTTACTAAAATCCTCTTCTCTGGTCCCAATTTAAAATAATTAAGAATACCTATATAGTTGCCGAGATCTACGAATTTATATAGTACATACACATTTATTTTAAAACTAGTATATTATGGTGATAAAAAGGATTTTTCATAGTTTTTCCTTTTTTTAACTCACTGCTTTGTTAGTGAAATGAAGTTCAACAACACTAAAATGAGCCACGATTCAGTTTGTAAGGTTTGGCTTCCTTTCATCATTTTTTTTCTTCCTGACACTATGAACCTGCTGCTACTGTCATAAGATGTAAAGTTTATTTCTGTACACATTTTGTTTCTCATTTCTGTATGAATGGCTCCTATGTCTTGAGGAATAGAAATGTAATTTTCTGTGGATTGAACTTAAACTTCTCAAGAATAACAAAGGTATGGAATGTTACAAGGAGGAAGAGTAGTTAGAGGGTCTGAATTCCACCTTTAGCTATCTTCTTTCTAAGTCACTTAAAGTCCCTTAAATAATTATTCTTAAGCAGAAGTTTCACTGTATGTTACAGTACTATATAAATAGCAACTAGTGTTGTGCAGCACAGCATGGTGTTATAAATGATACAGCTGTACAACATTTTATATTCAGAAACTAGATAAAAAAAATGTGCACAACGTAAATGCTATTCAATGATATTCATTAAATTTATTCTCACATTCAAAGACAGATAAACTTAATGAAATGCTTTTTAAGCTCTCATAAGTGCGCACTTGAGCGATGTAAAAGAAGTGTTAGAAAATTGTCTGATATTATGCTGGTAGGAAGATAAGAGGTATACTCGTATGAAAATATTCACAAGAAAATCAGAGCCGATACACAGAGTTTCCTATCTGTGAAGATCTTTAGTAAAAATAGTAATTAAATAGTACTTACAAGTGGAATTTTCATAAGAATTTATTATTGGTCAGCTCTGTTTCTTTTCAGTTTCATGCACGTTCTCAATAATTTCTGCAGGAGAAGGGTTTCCTGAAGTGTAGGACAAGATTCATGGGAAGAATTATGCTCTTAAAATCACAGTTAGGCATCTAAATAAAGCAACAATATTTTATTCTGTAATGTTCACAAAATCCTTACTGAACCAAAGCCTGTAAGTGTCTAGAGCTGCTCAGCATCTACATTTTCTGCAAATAATATTCCTGTAATGTCATTAGACACATGCTGAACAACCCATACTTTCAAAACACCATGAATAGTATCAACTAACACTCTAAGCCCAGAGTAATTCACAGATTAATTTCACAGCCCTGTCTGGGGGTCCTGAAAGTACTGCCTATACTTAGCTGTCAATTAGGGACTAAAGTGATTTAAATTATCCTTGTTAGAGGTTTGTTTTTGCTTCCATAGTTCATTTCAAAAATTAGTTACACACATGGTATTATTATAATATAATGAGTCATCTGTTAATTATTTTAGACATCTATGATAAGAAAATACACTAATGTTCCAGTTATTAATAGAATTAGCCTATGTATATGAAACTCAAATATACCAAATTGCCATGATTGTTTGACAAACTGTCACCAACTCACAGTTTCATCTTTAAAATGGCACAGGTACTTTTTGTATCTAAGTTCTGTGAAGACATGTACAACCTGCAAGTGTGGCTTTACATAATTTCAGATAAGCAGTGTTTAACCTACCTTACTTTAAAGCCTTTCACGAAAATGCATGAATACACATGCTATCAAAAATAATCTTCAACCGACCACATGCTGTGTAAGGGTACCAGTGAAATACTTCATAAACAGACAGAATGCAAACATGCACAAACACACAAACCACTAATGCCATAAACAACTTCAAGCACAGTACAAACAAAATGCATGCCAAGAAACCTGTTTAAAAATGTGTATTATAGAAGAATGCATTTTCAATTTCTGAACATTTATTTGACTACTTATTACACAATTAACCAAACCATGGTCTGTGATGGGTTTTGAATTAAACTTCTACCAAGTTCCAGAGACTGTTTATTATTCATTGTTACTAGATAGATATGTGTTACGTACGATATTTAGGGTAGATCTTCTTTTTCTTCACGTATGTCACCTAATAAAAATGGCAACGTATATGTATTGTGATCATATGTCCCCTATGTGCATATCACATTTATAAACAGGCAGTAATTATTGGGTGAGAATTTAGGTACTCAGCAAACATAAAAATCTAAATCGTGCAACCAATTTACTCCTGATAAAAATCCACAGACTTCAATACCACTTTGCATCTGTAGGTACATTTACTTCTATAGAGAGTCTAAATATGAGTTTCATTCTTATTGGACTGATTACAGTACAATCATATCAAAACCACCCAATGCCTCACAACAGCATCACAAAGTACCTAATGTGCCAAGGGGCTGACAAGTGAAACCCTTAGCCCACACTTGGCAAGCAGGCTGGCTGGAGACAAATCTGAATAGGATTTATGTTAGTGAAAAACAGAGAAGGCTGCTGTTAAGTAGGAAATACACAGAAGAAAGTCAGAGCCTAGAATCTGTCCCTCAGAAGGAGTTGGGTCTATGAGTCCAGCCTATGTGCTGGAATTTAGTCTGAGATTCTTCCCTTCTCATCTCTTCTGGGGAAGATTGTGAGTTAGGACCAATTTAGTGCCCAGTTTTAAGACAGAAATGACAAAAGATAAAATTTCATGAAAATTACTTCCAGATTCTTACTATATACTTTTACTACTGATATGGAAAACAGCAACACAGTGTTGTGGCAGGCTCTGAGCTGCATACTTAGTGGATGGCCAAATACATAACTACCAAATCTAGTCTTTTCCTTCCTGGAGCTCTGACTTTGATTTTTTATCTCTCATATAGGTGTTCAGGTTCACAAAATCTGCAGGAATCTTGTGATCATGAGTCCTTTGAAAAATTCACTTATATTGACAAAATGTTTACAGGAAAGGCTGTGGCAGAAGAGGGCAGATAAAAAGATGGACTGGTAGCACGTGTCTGGGTTCTTAAGGCTAAATCCAGTCTTAAAATGCCTAGCCAGACACAGAACATAGAGATTGGAGTTCACTAAAAATCAGAAGTGAATCAGAGAGTGAGCTGACTGGTAAGAGGTGCTGACAGGACAGGGTAAGCTCAGGCACAACACCAATCCAAGCATAGGTTCATGGGGCTAATCAATGGCTACAAAGAAATACTGAGGTAAATCTTTCAGGGCATGTCTTAAGTGTCACTCCAATGCAAGAAGATTTAAGAAGCAGAGTGAATGGTCTCAAAGTGAGCTAGAATTAGAAAATTACTAAATTAAATCAAATAAGTTCACTGACGATTAAACAGACCACAGCGTGGGCACTGATTTATCTGTTCTGATGACTCATATTGAGGCAATTTAACCAGTTGTCCATCCAGGCAGAAGCCACTATCCCTGTGGCAGAGAGAATGTTCACTCCCCAGATGCTGCTGTTTATAACTAAGCATAATAGAACAAATGCAATTAGTGGTCTTGCAAAGTAACACAGAATTTCACATTCCAGATTGGCTGAAAGGTGATACGTCATCTCTTCATTCATGGTGTTCAGCAAGAAGAATTATCCCCAAGAGAGTTATCATTTAAATTCAACAAATACTTCTAAGATACTAATGAATCTTCATTACCAGATTGCACTGATTAAACTAGTAAAATTCTAAATGAATTCAATTAAATGGGCATAACTTCTGCACTGCGTTTCAGTGCTCAGAAAAGAGTCACGTATTAATTAGATTATTTACTGATCTTTGCTTTTAAGACATGTTTAATTTGAAACTGAACAAACAGTAAGAAGTAAAGTCCTTTTCTGAATTTTCACTAAAATTTCATTTAATGCCAAAAACATGTTTCTGAATACTCCTCAGGAATAGGAAATGCTCCAGGAGAAGGTGGCAAACCAAGCTATCCTTGATATTTTATAATTTAGGGAAAAACACAAACACACAAAAATTTAACCATGTGGACATGTAAAAAAGTGAAAGTTCCTACATTTTTTTTCAGAACTTTTCCTAAATCTGAATTAAGTGACAAGATAGTAGTTGTTTCCATTTTATTTACCCTTCAGATCTTGCTTATACACAGCTCTAATGTTTTCCTTTATAATCTGTGCACCCTTATTATCTATATGTCTTTTCCCTGGTGACTGTCTGCCTCTGAAAAATACTGATTAAGGTGAACCCTGTCTGCCTTTTCATGCTCAGTAGAAGCAAGTTTTTTTCAGTTTTTCATTCTGACTAAAGATCAACTTAGGACAATCAACACTCCATTTTTTTCAAATTGAAATTCAATAATTTGCTGGCTAGTACAAAACAAAACAGTATACTTTTGTAAGCTTAGAAAGAACTTTCTCCTGTTGGTAGTAGAATTCTGACACAAAATTTTTGTGGCTTTTTTCTTCCTCAGACGTAAGGAAGTTGCTAGAGAAGTTGCTTGGGTTTTCTAAGTGGTTAGTGACTTGCCCAAGTTCTTTTGTAGCAACAATCCTCTCTTGTTGCAGTGAAATAACTTGGGTTGATATTAAAAAAAATAGAGAAGTTAGAGCTCTGGCTTTGGCATAGCGGAGTATTATTTGCCTGAAGCCATGGTTGATTTGATAGGTTTTGGCTATGGTGATGCAAATCCCTCGACACAACTTACTTACTGACTTTAGGTCAGTAATATTCAAGTTCCTTCCTGATAACTGAGCATGACTCAGTGATTAAAGCCGTCAGGTGACCTGACATCTCTGGAGGTCTGCTATGGAAAAAGTCATGGCCAGAAGCCTTGAAACCCACATACCTGCCTCTGTGTTTTTTAATGTCATCACTAGTGGCAAATGTAACATACAGTTAAAAAAAATAATGCTCTATTTTTTTAACTGGATTTATAAAGTCCAAATGTTTACTTAGAAACTAAACATTTTGGTACTGGGGCCTCTAGGATATGTTGGCAGTGGAAAAACTAACCTACACCAGATGGCAGAGGTTAAAGAAATACTATAAAATATGGCTTCTATTCATACAGTTCTCAGACAAACAGAACCCCAAGCAGAAAAAAACTGTGAAAGTGGAAAACCTTTTCATTTGCTTACATTTCTCTTTGCTACTCAGCAAACCTGAGAGGTATTGTATCATCACGTATCAAGAAAGTAATATGCCAGATTGCTGTAACAGGTGGAATATGTTTGTTTGTAACACGTTGAATCTGAAATAAAGAAAGGACCAAAGTTACTAAAGGTTTTACAAAAACATTCGTAAAATGTATGTAGCTTGGTTTTGTACCTGCAAAGCTTACCACGGAAGTGATAATTTGAGACAATAGCTGCATTTTGCACAAAAAATAAAAAAATTATACTGTCAAATTTTCACAGGTTCAGTTAATTTGTCTAGGTGAACATGTAAGCTAAGGAGATAATTCTGCATTAGCCTTTTTAATTAAACATTTCATAAAACAGAGCAATTTTTATGTATACTTCACACTATTATACCTAAACCATATAATTTCTTAATGTCATCCTTAGTTTTTGTATTTGTTTCTAAAGCTTCTTAAAATCACAACTGTTTTGTAACCTCAATATACTTACATAGTATTTCATGAATTTATTCTTTTTATACTATAAATGCAACCTTACAATAGAAATACTTATTTTATAATTTTTTTCAGTTAAAAACCAGTAAAATAAAATGCATGATATAAACCCATTTTCTCACTATATATGTAGTCACATGATGCTAAAAAAAAGAGAGAAAAAAAAGTGATGTGAACTTGGGCACAATGGACCATGCTGTCAAAAAAATCAGTTGTCAAAAATGCAGATGGCATAAAAACACAGAAACAGATAAGTTATGGGAATAATTTTTTTTAATAAGAGCTATTGCATGGATTTTTAAAATGGGTTATGTGCCTAAATATGTGGGTGGGTAGCCACTAAAGTCTTCAAGGATACCTAAATGTTTCTGGAAAAACCCATTTATCTGAACAGTTAGGCAATTAATATTTTGAGAGATATGGTCTAATGTCCAAGACAGAAGTAAATGTTCTTCCATATAAATGAAAAGCTACCTGATGACTTGTCCTTTTTCATTTAAAAAAAAAAAAAAAAAAAAAGAGAAAAAAAGAAAACAAAGATGCAGCACGTGGAAATCTCTGCACAATGAAAACAACTACTGTGCAGTTCTCGAGAATATTCAGTAAAGAATATTTGAAGTGTCTGAACTACTATCATACTACTAATGAAACAGCACTACTGGGGGCATTCAAAAGGATGATTAAGGCTGGTAACTAGCTACCTGGCCAATCTCAACAGTTCAGCTAGAGGCAGGCTCTGCCTTTCCCTCCTGAGCAAGTTCCCATGAGACAGAGAGAAATCTTGAAACATAGAACATACTTAGAACTACTATGACTGTTCCCTCCTTCTGCTTACCCTATTTTTGCCCTTTTTGCCTGTAAGATTAGTGGCATTTTGGTGTGAATACAAAGCCTCTTTGCGATGGATATAGAGTCAAGTGTTCATAATAAACTCATCTCTTATTGCTAGGCAACACTGAGCAATGTGAATTTGTCACTTCTGTTTGGTGCAACTTTCGATTTCACCTCCAACTGTAACAATATAGCCTGCTATATTTTAGATGCCACTGTGGTTGGATGCCATCCCAGGAAAGATGTGAACTACTACTGACAGGGAGTGAATGACTGGCAATGGGCATGAGCAGTTTTTTGATTCTTAAGCCTTGACATATAATTAATTGTTAGATTTATTCTTCTATGAAACATACTTCATGATTCCTATTTACTGGTTGCCTTTTAGAAAAGGCAAATGGAACAAACAAATTTCCAGTGAGGGGAAGTTTTGCTTGCCTGCTTACCTTTTTTTCATGTAGTATTTGTTCTGTTTGTATTTTTCTGCTTTGACTGTCTTTTTGAGGGGTGGCTATAATTAAAATTCAGATCTTAAGTATCCTCAATGAAGCAAATATCAATATTTCTAAGGCATATCCAATTATTTGCTTGAATCAATACATTCCTTACTTAAGAAATTGAGGTTCAGATTACAAAATACGTTGAGCAATTCTTACATACTGCCCCTCGCATATAACACCACCCATTGTCGAGGAGCTCAGATTATTGCAGAAAGAATACACAATTTTTTCAATCTGAAATGAAACTTCCCATCCAATTCAAAATAAGATGAATGCTATTATGTGCTACCTAGGCTTTGGTTTGTTTTTTCTTTTTTATTAGAGAACTGATAATTTTGGTTTTAAAATCTGTGTGTGATTGCCTAATCTGGCTACAAGGTCTCAACTCTTTGATCTTTGAAGACTTAGGTCTGTTTGAGGGGCAAAAAAGGGAAAACTGAAAACTGATATTGTTTCACCACCTTTGTCTAAGACATAGCTAGAAAGAAGGATGAGTTTATACATCAAAGAAAACACACATCTTCTAAAAAGTTAGCATCACTATCAACAGTTATTTCTCTAAATGTTTAGAAACATTTCCCAACTATATTAACTACTGAAATATGACAAACAGTTGAGAATCTTAGTAATATTTTAGTCTTTGCATATTTTCACTGACTTACTGAAAACAAAAGGAGTTTCCCTAACTGTATGAATGAACCATAGCATGTGCGTATTCTTTTAAGAAAGGCCAAGGGTGCAGTTCTATTTTCTTAGCTCTGCTTTCATATTTATGTGTCTCATTTCCAGCTCATTGCTGATGCCTTAGTTGCACTATCCATCAACACTTTTATCCTCCTTGTTCCTCAAAAAGAACATAAAATCCTTTTTTATGTTGTGGTAATATTATTGCAAATAAAAGCAAATACCAAAATCTTTATTAGTCTGCCAAAATAATAAACTATTTAATAAAAGCATGCTGTAAAAATAAGGTCATTTGCATCACTCAAGTTCCTTACAGAAAATAGAGAGAATTATTGGTCAAAAAGTGCAAACTGACAGCAATTATTTCTGTTGTTGATCTAATACTGCCTGAAAATGGGATAAAAAATGCACTGAGGTTTTGCAAGTTTTCCGTCTTTAACTGTTTTTAATGCTGTTGTATACTTAAGAGCCCAGGAGAATGAAATTTTTTAAAACTGTATTTTAACCAATCTTATCCATAATAGAAGATATACTGGATATACTCTATTAGAAATCTTTAATGTAAAGTTATAGTAACCTTCTGACTCCCATCTTGCCACAAGATTTATCATCCAAATATTTACCATTTTTATATTTCTTATTAATTGTGTTTCATTAGGATTTGTGTCAGCTTTATCTATATGACATTTCTCACCTTTTTCTTTTGTCATCCTTACAGACAGATCAATGAAAAGTTGATATTTAAGAAGTTTGTTAAATGTTTAAAGTTACTCATAATATGGTGTTTAAATCATGTACGTAAGTCTGATCCTTTTTCCCTGTACTACAAACCTCACCATTATTTTCTCACTGCAGTTTCTCTCCCCATCTGGCAGTTTTGCAAATATGTTATTGATAGAGCACAGAAAAATCAGTTGCCGTGGTGAGATTTAAACACTGCTTGTGATGTCCCTGAATACTTCCCCAGATGAATGTGCATATAAAGATTAAAAATAAATCAATCTTATAATTTTTTAAGATTATACATTATCTCATTCATTATACACAAAGTATTTACCTTAATTGCCATAATCTAAATGATAAGAATTATCTTTAGAACCATTGAGTTAAAAGGTTTATGAAAAGACTCTTTTTAAAATAACTATTACAGTGATCTTCTGTAACTTACGCAGTTGTAAAACCCCATAAATCTCAAAATACCCTGCAAGGTATATCTATGTCACTTTACAGAGAGAGAAATTGAAACAAAGAGCAGCTGAAGAAGCAGGAATGATTGAGCAACAATCAACAAGTTATTGACCAGAAAATAAAATTTTAAGGTTCAGACCACTGGTGCTGTCTCAGTATTTCTGGGCTCTATTGCCTCTGCTTCTTAAGCTCAATAGAGATACTCCACTTATTTAGAGGATGAGACCTGTATAGAGATGAAATATTTTAAAAAACCATTATATATATTGAAATGAGTATTTCACAGAGCCCTGTTAGTATATTCAATCATGTTTTAAACCATTAATTTGGCCAGGAGTTATTCTCCTTGCTTCACAGACTGCAGACTGCTGAAAACTGAATTTGATGTTTAGGATGTCATGTGATACGTGCAGGTTAGATAAAAGAATTCATGTTAGGAACAGAACTTTTTTATTCTGAAGGTGTGGAATTTTACTATTTGCATCCATTAGTACATTCAGTCAATGTAAGTATTTTGTCTTCCAAACCTGAGCTGGGTTACACAACCTGGTAAAGTCCCTCATATGTAGCTAAATCAGTAATTTCCAAAGTTTACTTGTTTGGATATTGTACACAGTAACAGCAGTTGCTGGACTAACAGCTCCCAAATATATGCAGGACTGTGTACTTCAGAAGGAAGGTGTTTAAACCTTATGACAACCATACAATTGAAATACAGAATATGTACAAGAGCTTCAGAATACTCCATCATTAATCAGTGTTAGGGTTTAAATTAAAAGCACTTACATTGTATCTGCTTGGTATTTATTGGGATTGCTATGCTATGTATACATCATTATGACAGACGGGATTATAAAATACTTAGATAATTGCAGAAATGTTAATTAGAACATTGTCTATTCAGGCTAAGATATGCAATAAAGACATCACCAAATTACATTTTTCAGAATATTGTATCTTGCATTACCTGTAAAACAGCAGATTTGCAAAGGTCTTTTAAGGATTATTTCTGAGCTGTGTTCTTACACATAAGAGAATTAAGTAAATCATCAACAGTGGAACAAACCAATGGAAGATTCCTGTAGATAATAACTTGTGACTTGAAAAGACTATAGATTGTTTAAATTCCCTTCAATACTTTTAAAAAAAACCACAACCCAAGCAACCAAAAAAAACCCTAACAAAAATAAGCAACCCAAACCAGGCAATGGCAACTAGCAAATTGAAATCAATGTTCATGCAGCAAAACCCAGGGAAGGCTATCCCTATGGGTTAGTGGCATAGTTGACTACGGACAGAGAATCTCTGAAGTGAACCACTGGTTCACAATCCTCCTTTTCAATCTCCACAGATGGGTGGTAAACTTTTGCTCATATCAGCTCTTAATCCTGAAGTTGTAATGATTTTTTAATGTTATTGCAGTAGTACAATGACTGCAAAACCATATGTTTTTGAAAATCATAATGCTTACATGAAAATCAGAGAGCAGGTGTCCTGGTTTTTGTCTTTGCCCAATTTCTCAGGCACTATAGAACCTATGCGACAAGAAGAAGAGACCTTTTTGTTCAAAATCGGTTCTTATCAATATGGTAATCAGAAGTATCTTTCAGACTCTCGAAAAGTATTTCTTTACTTCAAGGCTTAAACAACATTAAAGAAAGCATACAGACAAAGCAGTGTTGGAAAGGAAGTAACATGCCCTTATTTTTAGCACTTGCCCACTTGTCACTTAAACTCTCATCTGCCTTTCAAATGTAGTGTAATCTAATTTTTATGCATACTGTATGCTCATACAGACAATTTCCTTATTTCAGAGTATGTTGAGTTTGGTAAAGGTTTTTGTCCTTTCTCTTAACCTGTTTCAGAAATAGGACTGTCACCATTTGTCTCAGTAATATACAGGACAATGGAAATTGACATTTTTCTATATAGAAGTGAAAAGAATATTAGTTTTATCAAAGACTAGATCCCTTCTTCCCTCCAGTTATATTTGAATTTGGTCACTTCAGGGCTTACTGGGTAGGATGATTTTAAGCAATGGTCCCTGTGGTTGCTGGCTCTATTACCTAATAATTGACCATGACAGAAATTATATGTCCGAAGCCAAGGGGTAGAGTGAATAGCATATGTCAGGGTCAATTATAAGGTGGAAGACCCTGCAACAATAAAGACTGCACTGATTAGAGCATGATATTGACATGGGAGCCGAAGCTTCAATGTTATTTCAAAGGGCACTGTCACAACCACCCTTCCTCGAGGACTCAAAATCAAAGCCAGATTATATCAGTGGTTTATACTACAAATGATGTCATAAAGTTCAATGGGACATTGAAAGATACAACTGATTTGTTGCTTTTCTTTTCAGCAATAAAATGCTTTCTCAGAATCACTCATAATTAAGCTCGCTACTTTGCTAATTAAGTCAAAACAGCTTCATACTTACTAGATTCTTTCTTGAAAAATCCAACTCTCTGAGATGAAGAGTATTAAACGTGACACAGTTAAAACCTGGTTTGATTGTTTAAGTTATTAATGTTATTTCTACTGGCAAACCTGAACAGAATAGGAACCATGGAATGGAAAGAAAATAATCCTTTTTATTACTTTTATTACTTAAAGCTCTGTTATAAATATTTTATGGTATGGGAAGATTTCTGTAGTGAAACAAATGGGCCAAAACACTTGCTGTTTGCTTATTCCCCTGAAACTTCACCAGTTTTAACCTACTCAAATGTTCTTAATCAATGATGAACCACAGAACCATTTAGTAAGTGAGGAATGATCTCAAATTATATACCACTACAATAAGAGACTATAGTTCCGTTTTAGATTTTCATTCCAACAGTTCAATTTTCTGACTCTTTTCACTGAAGCCTGCTTCTCCAAATTTCTGAGACTCTGTAAAAATATCCCAGCCATTTCTGCACACAAGATCCCAGTGGTTTATTTCATGATAACGAAGAGGATATTGTAGCTTAACCTCATTAACTAGATAGCTAATTTCTCTCTGTTATCATGGGTTATTATCCATGACCACATTTTTTCTGGGTGTTTTGCAGCCATCATATAGATGGCTAACTCCCAATAAATTAAAGTCTATAGTTTTAGATTCAAATTTGTTGAATGATGAACATATTACAAGGATTATTGAGCCTAAAAGATCTCTTTCTTTCTCCCTAGAATGGTTAATTAGGAGATCATAGTCTTTAACATACAGTTAATATAGCTTCACAGGAAACATGTCATATTAGATAAGAGGGACCTGTTTTTGAACCTTGTATATGTACTTCTTTACAACAAACTCATCTCTGATCTACATTTGTTTCAATGTAACATTAGAATAGCTCTCACATTTGTTTTGTATTTAAAACTTACACAAATTTAAAAAACTGAAATGTTTATTTGTAAAAATATCAATTTTTTAAGTGAGAAAAAGACAGGAAAATATAGAAGTGCTTTAAACCTGTAAATACAATATCCCCACTTAACTTTTTAATTGCAATCAAAATAGATACATGTAGAACAAAACCTCCTTTGGTACTACAGGCTTTCTGGTGATCTGGAGACTTTTTTTTTCCCCTTGGAAGTACTTACAGACTTCAGATAGAGAAAAATACATTTAAATACCGTGGATTAAGATGAACAAAAAAAAATGTAAATGAATGATTTTGCCAGTCACACTTGACAGTTTCCCTTGGTGGTAATTAAAATTAGTGCTTTTATTAATATAGTAAAAATTTCAAACACTGAAAACTCATTTAGTCAAGTGAAAAAACTGTTCAGCTGCCAGTGAATATGAATTTTAGCTTGCACTAGTGTCTGATGGAAATGGAAACACTGGTCATTTTGACACAGCCATGATGGTATAAGGCTAATTTTATACTTTTGACTCTCTGAAGATTAGTAGATTGGTTAGCGAAAATTAAGTTCAACAAAAGCTTAGAAAAACTCTCATCATATAAGGACAATTACAGTCAAGAACCTATATATATAAAGCTACCTTAGGCTAAATTCTATTTCTGTCATAGTAGTTCATAAACACAGGTCTGAGAGTCTTCAAAAATTCTATATAAAGGACGAAGTAAAGTTGTGCAATTTCATAGTTCCTCAAAAACAAGTCAAATCACCTATGAAAATGACAAGTCTTGTCTTACCAGAACTAAGAACTATAGGAATAGCTGCATATATATTTAGTAGTGTTTATATGGAGCACTTAAGAGCAAGGAGCCCACAGGCCCAGTATGTCATTCCTCACATACAGCACTGATCACCAGGGTGATCACCAGTGTGAATGGCTGGAGGTCAACCAGAAGTATATGTATACCTATTTCTGTCTAAAAAGAGATGATCAGTGTGACAATGTGCTCAAGCTAATCTTAACAGGCTGTTTTATCCTGGGCCTGATGCACTGTTAGCATGGTTATGCAGCATTCAAGCAACGCTCTTTACATCTGTCGAGCTGCAGAAATGTTGACAGAAGGACCTTGAGTCCTTCTACCTCTGAATGGGGAGATACGCTGCCCGAGAAATTTCATTCAGATTCTGGTAGTATGTCAATACATCTCAAGCTGCCAAACCAGAGTATTTTTCCCAAAATTTAATTCAAGTTTATCTTGTGGAAGAATTCATAATATCGTGTTTACTGTGAAGTAAGTGAAAATTCAGGAAAGTTGTCAATGACAGGCAGCTAAAGGAACTCTGCAGCCAGTTTCTTAGTGAAAAAGTCCAATATATTCTCTTATAAAATCTCAAATAATTTTTTCTGTATTACATAAACAGCTTTGGGTATTAAGAGCAGCAAAAATTCTGCCACCTGTTAGATGAGGAAAACAGCTCTGACTGCAGGAGAGTCAGAGCAGGACACTCTAATGAGAGGCAATAGTGGCACACTGCCAGCTACACCCGTGAAAACCCTGACATTCCTGTTTTGGACATGGTATGGTGAGCAAAGGAGGAGATGATTTTCAAAACCTTTTTTTTCAAAATGGAAATATTCTTCTAATATTACACCTGCTTTATATATGCAGTATTCTATTACTTACTGGTGATTATAATAGGAAATTTTTTAATTAAGAACTTCATTAGTTCACCTTTAAGTGCCAATCACCAGATAATTGGCCCTTTTCTAAGAGGCACTGCAGCTCAGGTATGCTAAAATGACTGTTTCTCAGAATAACTTACTGAAAGTAAGTTATTTTTGGAACTCATTTATAAGAGGACTTAATTAACTATTCCAGATCATTAGGGATACTGCATTGCGTTTTTTAATCCTCTGACAGGTTCCTCCAGTTATATTAATTCATTATCATTATTTTCAACTCTCTAGGAAGAAAAGGGTGAAAAAGAAACACTGAGCCACTGCTGGCATTCTGTACAAACTAGCCAGTACTTCCCCGAGATGAAAGGCAGCTTTGGTGGATTTTATTGTTTCAGCTGCTGCGGCAGTGGAACAGAATGTCTTGGGGCAAGCAGCTTGAGAGATGATGCACTGCCTTTTGTCCACCGTCGTATGGCAGAACTTTTCAAGAGCAGTGACACTACAACAGAGCTGTTCCATCAGGTGAATGAGAGTAAACAGATTTTCTCACAGAATATATTCCACATAATCTGAAAACGGCATCTTTTGGGGGAAAATCTGTTTTGAAACCCCACTTTATTATTCGATTTTGATATATTTCGCAAATTCTGGGAGCCAAATCTCACTTTTTTATTTGTGCAAATAACTACTGATGTCTTCATCAAATGGAAGCAAAAATTCCAATCTCAGTAGCACACAAAGCAGACTTTGGTCCTACAGTGACATATGTAACTTCTACTTCAAACAAGTCTGACTTGTAAGTGGAAATTTGATTTTTTTGGAAGCTGTAAAACTGAATGAAATAGAACCATCTGCTGAAAAAACAGCAACATTGTATCAGAATAGATTAGTAATAACAGACCTTTGCAAAAAAGTGGGACTTCAGAATTACTTTTTTCCAGATCTTCTAACAATGCTGCTTAGAAGAGATCTTTACAAGTCTTTAAGTATTTGTTCTAAAGCTGTCTGATTAAAGTTACAGATTATATGGCCTCACCATTTTATAAAGCATCAGAATAACTTATGTACATGATTTTTAGACTTTCCATGTATCATTGCTAAATATTGTAAATTAGTATCTTGTAAGTATTCACAACTACTAGCCAAATTATTCTTTCTTGTGATAATAATAAACATATTCAATTCAAACACAGAAAACAGAGGTGATGTATGACAAAATTACATTTTTTCTTTCTTTTTTGGTTAATAAATCAAATACCTTTGGTCTGCCTTTTTTTACAGTTCCTCAGAGGTGTGGTAATTTTCTACTAGTTCATATACTATGCAGTATTGCTTCATTCAGTTTGGTAATCTCTGCTAAAATCTCCCTTTTAATTCAGAACACGTCTCCATTACCTCTCCGAGGCAAAAAGAGAACCCCAATCCCTATCAAAATCCCTGCCCTTTCATCAGAATTTCACATCTAAGTTACCCTTTTAGATCACCTAAACATCTTGAAGAGCAAAAAAACTTTCAATGAATTACACATTATGTCATCACCAATAAACTAGCAGGAAATTCAACTGTCCTGTAAATAATTCCGAGGAAAGTCAAATATTCTGTCTCATAACTGTTGGCCTGTGATGGTCAAAGCACGAACCGAGGATTTATTTGCTTTTAAACATGTGCTTTTTGCAATTATTCCAAAGTAGAAAAATCCACGTTGTGTTTATTACCTCTTTCAAACTACTTATCAAATAAGTTTTATATTGATTGTCACTTCTTAACTTTTCAAAGTGTATTTAGGAAGGCATCATCACCTTCATATCTGCCCATAATTATCCACTCCTATTTTAGTGTTTTACTGTACAAATCATGTGCTGACTAAAATCATCTTAAAAAAAAAGTGGTCTTTCAAGCTGTTTCATGAGCTGTGCATAAAAAAACTTATATATTTGTCTCACTAGGCATTTATTTTGGTACATTTATCGCTATAACAAAATGTTTTTTCCTAGAATATTTTCTTCCACATTTTCTCTTGCTGGGACCTTCATAAACAATTTGTGTGCAAGGAACTTGAGTAAGCTCTGAGCGGTACAGATTGTTATACAGCATTGTATAGTATCATGTTACAGGGAACTGATAAGCTAGCACTCACAGTGCATAAAGCATTTGTCCCATGCTTGAGAAACAAAGCCTTTTGTGATCTGCAGTGGTTGCTGCAACTGAACTCAAAAGGAATCATAAATCGGCGTTCCTGGTCACTGCCAGTTTACACGCTGGTACCGAGGCTCACCCTGAGGCACTGCACTTGTACCCGCTGACCCTGCACACCAGGCTCCACCGAGGGCGAGCAACCAACAGCACGCCAGTGACTTCTTGCCCCCACTTTAGTCTCATGGGTCCTTTGAATCAAAGCCCGGACAGTGGTGGGCCCTCAGACTACTTCTCAAAACACTGCCACAAAACACCAGCAATGGCTTTATCTGGTGGTATAGGATTCCTGAAGTTAGCTTAGTGGTACAGTTTCATGGGCGGAACAAACTCACAGGTTTCTTCTGTGACATGGGAGAAACAGACTTGTGTCTGGAGGCAAGAGATTGGGCACCTGGGTACGCTTTTAATTGACTCAGCCTACAGACCTGCAGTGCTGCCTGTTGTATGCCTCATGGCGGGACTGCTCAAAACATTGGCCCAAAACAGGGATCAGATGACAAGCTCAGATCTTCGATATGCAGAAGTTGAACCCAAGGGTGCGGGTGGACATTCTGTGCTCGCCGGCGAGCAGAGAACTCTTAGGGAGGCAGCCAGTTCTGCTCTGCTGTCCTTCCCTGCTCGCAGCGGCGATTACAACTGGTCCGGGGAGACTTCTGAAGCCCCGCAGCAACTCCAGCCCTCGGAGCGGGCCCTGCCGGCCTCCCAGCCCTGGGACGCGGTGCAGTGGAGCTGCGACTGCTCCCCGCAGCGTCCCCAGCGGTCACCCCAGGGGGAGGGGGCGGCCTCGCTCGGTCGGCCCCGTTCCCTACACAACACTCGCTTGCAGCAGGTCCGTGGCTCTTCGCTGAAGGGCAGAAGGCAACAGGCGGGAACGGGGGAGGCGGCAGGAGCGCCGGGCGATGCTCTCACACGGCCGGTCTGGGCCTGCTGGCGCGGCCGCCCTGCCCGCCATAGGTGCCCCGCGCTCTGCCTCCGCGGCCGCGCCCTCCTCCCGCCCGCCGCCGGGCCGCGCCCGGGCTCCGCAGTCCCGGCCGTGGCGCAGCCTTGCGGCGGCGGCAACACGCTCCTCCGGGCGTGGGGAACCGGCGGCTCGCCGAGCCTCCCGCCTGCGCAGGCAGTCTGCCGGCCTGCCCGGGAGGAGGGCCCGCCTAGGGAGGCGGCGAAGCGGTAGCATCGGAGGAGCCGGCGGCGTCCGCGGCCCAGGGTAGCTACGGCGACTGGGCTCCTTCCCTGCTGCGCTTCTCGGCTGTCGCGCACCTCCCTGTCAGTGTTACCGCCCCCGGCCTGTGACCAAGATGAGAGTAGTGGCTTTGATCAGGTAACGCGCTGAGGGAGCGCCCATGTGAGCGAGCGGGGCACGACTCGCAGGCGGAGGGAGGGCGCGGGTAGAAGCCGTGCCCGCCCGGGGGTCGCGCTCCACCCAGCGCCGTCTTGGAAACCCTCCCGTCCGGCCCCTCCCGCCCAGGCGTTTCCTGCCGCTCCCCTTCCCCTGCCCTGGCGACTGTCTCTGGGCCGGCTGCCGGCTCTGCCCTCAGGGTGAGGATCTCACAGTTTGTCTTCTGGTCTCCCCGTGATCCCAGAGACACTTAAGAACCTGGTGTCTGTTAGAAAAAAAGAAATAAACAAAAAAAAGAACCAAACCAAAAATCAAAATCCCCCCACCCCCCCCACCCACCCACCCCCCCCCCCCCCCCCCAAACACCACCCACAATTATTTTCCCCTATCGCCTGCTCGCCGCTCTCCCAGTGTCCCGGGTTATCCCGCCTGCAGCGTGGCGGGAGCCGGAGCCGCGGGCAGCGCTGTGCGGGTCGGAGGCGGCGTCCCTGGGGGCGCAGGGCTCGGCCGCCTGTCCTGCGCTTGTAGAGGGGGTTCCGCTCATTTGCAGTTCATTATCTTAACGCTAGATTTTTCGGGTAGTTCTTTTGAGAGAGGTTTAATTTTGTAAGAGATGAAGCTCAGTCGTTTAAATAGTTGGAACTGGACACAGCCCTATCTGTCGGGCTGCTGCATTTGCCGTCCCAACCGTCCCCTCGCCCCGGCTGCTTTTAGTCAGTTTCTGCAGTTCTTGCACTGTAAATATTTATTTTTAGAAACATTAATATGTTGTATCAAGGACAGGCGTGTTCTTTTTTTTCAAGAAATAATACTTAGTTTAAAAAGAACAAGCTAGAAAACTAAATGGAAAAGAATTGTGCAGATGTGAGCAGTGTATTTTTGGGTGCAGTAGCTGTTTACTTAAACCTTTAAGGTATTAAATTCTTTCAGGCATTGTCTAAAATCAAACCTTGTTGACATTGGGGCTTGGCCACAACAATTGCAAATAATTCCAAACATCATCCAAAGAGGAGAAAATACAGGAAATGTTATCTATGTTTTGCAAGATTTGCTTAAATACAGAGTAGGAAAAAATCAACTTTGGTGATTTTTCTTGTTTTATAGATAAGATTTTGTCTTCCAGGTTTACTTACATTGATTTTCTCTAAGCAGAGGAATGTGTTAAAAGGCACGATGGAATAAAATCCTAAAAACAGGTTTTTAACACAATTGCTATTTTAATGGGCTGTTTTACAAGGATGGATTTAGTTTCAGTAATAGTTTTAAGAAGAGTTTTAAAGAAACATCAAAGTGTCTGAAATTTTTGCAACAGAGCTAGCCTCAAAGATTAGAGGGGAACAAAAGTATTTGAAAAGTGCTTCTTGCTTTTGAGGTCAGGATTATGTATAAAACTGCTTTAACCTGTTTCTATTCCTTCTAAAATGCTGGCCACACTTAAAGTTGATAGTCTTGCTTTAAGATGGTATTTATGGGGTAAACCCTGTATTGTGTTTTGTGCTAAATCATAGGCATTTTAAAGTCAGTCTTCAACCTGAAATACGATGTTTTTCGACTCTTTAATTCTTCTAGAATTTTTTTAACTGTAAATGCTTACACTTGCCTTTAGAAAGGAATTTTGCTTAGAAGTCTTTTACAGGCTCGTATCTTTATGGTTACTATGTTTTTTTTTTAATCTGATATTTTGTTTGTTATAAGCCTGCCTGTTAACATGCTCGCAACAGTGTCCAAAAGAACCCTGACTTTGGCCCCACTTCAGAGTTTTCTGCAAAAAGGCCTTGTGATTTTTTTCTGTGATGAGACTTGAGAGTTCCTGGCCTACCTCAGTATCTACCTTCATCTCTCTTATGTGGACTGTGCTGAGTCCACCTTTCTCCCACAGCATGGGCTGTCTTGGCTTCACTGATCTTAACTATAATGTGTTTTACAGCTAGTTTGGAAGGCCTTGTAGGTAGGCATGGTTTTGTTTTGTTTCTTGGTACTGTTAGTTTTTAGGGATAAGCAATACAGAAATTAAATAACTGTATAGTAGCATGTGATCCAATGAGCAAAAATTTCCACCAAGTAGTTGGTGGTCTAGTGGGGGAAATAGAAATGCAATCTCATCGTAAATGTCTCTTTATATATATATACACATATACATATATATATAAATTAATTGGAAAGATTAACAGATTTATTCCAGTGACATTTTAATTTTTTAAATATTGAATTGCTGTAAACAGCATAGTCAATTATCTACTGTCATATAATTCTTTTTTTCTGAAGTGGTGTTTGTCATTGAAATCAGAACTAGTGGGAGACTTATTTTTTAGCATATAGTCATTCAGCAAGAAAAGAGCCTTTGTCTCATTATGATTCTGCTAAACCTGAAATTTCATATTATGAAGTGAATACTATCCATGTTTTCAAGCTATCAAGCACAGTATTCAGAATTAATGAATGTATGACTTTTTTTAAATTTTGTTTACCATATATAGGTTAGAAGAAAGTTGTAGATATGCATGAGAAGAATGTTAAGCAAGAGATGGAGCCTCAAATTAGGAATCTATTTATCATATTTATATTTACTTTTGTATCACTGAAATACAGGCAACTGCTTTATGAAAATCCATTAGGTATGAAAAGATGCCCTGTTATTTATACTATTTCTACTTTGGGTTTACAGAGCAAATGAAGTACAGCATACAGAATTTTAACATGGATAGAAGCAGGAATTGAGTGGAACAGCTTTATGGTTGCATTCCTGGAAGGCACTTTCAAGCTCTTGCATAGAGGGCTAGATAAAGAGGGGAACTTTATGCTGAAAATTCTGAAGAATTTTGTTGCAGAGTCACAGAATTATTTAAGTTGGAAAAGACCTCCAAGAGGTCCAACATTTGACCAATCACCACCTTGCCATTCAGACTATAGCACTAAGTGCCACATCCAGTCATTTCTTTAACGCCTCCAGGGTGTTGACAGCCCTTTCCATGAAGAAATTCTTCCTGATGTCCAACCTGAATCTGCCCTGGTGCAGCTTCAGGCCATTTCTTCTTGTCCTGTCTCTAGTTGCCTGAGAGAAGAGGCTGACCCCTACCTTGCTACAACCTCCTCTCAGGTAGAAATAGTAATAGTGTGGTCACAAGGAAACCAACGGTCTACTTTAGGAAGGACTGCTTGTACTATCTGTTCTTCTGTGCATATCTTGGTGATTCTAAGAAAAGATGCAGTTTTACAGAGCTTGTGTAGATCTCTGTTCTCGTTCCTGCCCTGGTTTTTGTGCCACGGCATTTAAAGAAGCTGCACAGAATCTCCACCTGCAGTTGTAGTTTGAATACCATGAGTCTAAACGTGGATCTTTTAAGCACTGTGTATTCTAGAGTACTCTTAGTTTTATTGATTGATTGTAATAGTTCTTTTGCTGGTGATTAAAATCCATGAGAAGGACTTTTTCAGTTACATCAGAAGAGCAGGATTCTTTCCTCACTGATAGGGGAAAAGGTTCCAGTAGATCTTGAATGAATGTCAAAATTAATTGTATTCTCTGTGTTGAAATATCGTGTGTTGGCCTCAGAGAAGAATATAGTTATGTTTGGGTTTATATTTTTTTCTTACTAACAGTAATTTTTGTTTGCAGTTAAATGAGGTAAAAAATGTGTATGTTCAATGCAGTGTCAACTGAAACTGCTACCTGTAATAATTAAAGTTTTAGAGAATGAGAAGGACATTTAAAATGTTGAAAGTTTAGGTTAAGTATCCCACAAAGGTGAAACGTTATTTTTAAAACAGAATCAGCAAGTTTTAGAAAAGATCTCTAAGATGATGGAGTCCAAGCATTAGCATGTCACTACCAGGTCCACCACTAAACTGTGTCCCTAGGCACCATATCTACATGACAGACCTAATTTAAGAAGATTGCTAATGCTGACAACTCTGGAACAGATTTTGGTTTTCTGATCCAAGTTATCTGGTAATGAGTACAAAGTAATTTGTCTCTGGAGTAGAAGACAGTCTTTATTTGAAGGAATTCCAGTGTCGGTGGCTGTTCTTCATGGAACCTCTCAGATTAATAAGATACAGAACTGGTTATGTGCTTTATGGATACTGTATTTAGGCACTATACATATGTAGTAATTTTATGGTGAAATCATTATTTTCCTACCGCTAATATTTTACAACTCTTTTCATATTTCAAAACTTTATAACCAGCTCTGATTATGGTAATTTTTAAGCCATTAGGCAAAAGTTATAAGGGAATAAAACTTTTTTTCTTTTTCTTACAGTGGTGGGAAGGATAGCTGTTATAATATGATGCAGTGTGTTGCTGCTGGGCATCAGATTGTTGCTCTAGCCAATTTAAGACCTGCTGAAAACACAGGTATGAAAATCACATTTCTTATAGGAGATTTTTTTATATATATATTAGAAACAGTGAAGACACAACTGTACCTGAATTAAGTTCCTGTATGTGTTTTTATAGTTTTGCATATTGAAGGCAATATAGAAAACTCAAAAAAGGTAAAGAAAAAGAAAGTATTGTGAGGATGTATTAAATATATCTTTCCTCAAAGGGGAAGAAAAGCTCATGGAAAGATGAACATCAGTACAAGGAATGCTTACACAATTTGAAAAAGAGAATTGTGTGAATTAAAAAAAAAAAAAAAGTAAAAGAGATTGTGTGAATTTAGTAGCACAAATGTTAAAAGATGGTAGAGGATATCACCAACCAAAAGTAACACTGTATTTCTAGAAATGCTTTAAACTGGCATAAACCATTCCAGCTGCCAAAAACGTGCTATTATGCGTTTGCTCATCTGTTTTTATCTTTGTGTGTCCTCCTTCATTATTCTAACCCAGCATCTGTGAACTGAATTGGGGAACTGATCTGGGTTGGAATTGACCCTGATGCACGTATTTTTCCTGCTTTTTCCCTTCCTTTTTGCTTCGATCAGTTTTCTGATTAGTTCCTCAGAGACTCCACCAGGACTTATTTCTGTGAAAGACAATGGGAGAAACTCAGGTAGCCAGTGGTGAGGTGAGAGAGGGAGCTGAGTACTTTTATATGTGATTGGAGCATAAATTGAATTTGAAGCGAGACTTGAAAAGCAAGTGAGTTGTTTCCCAGTTTTTAAGGAGAGAATGTTAAAGGATGTTAACATACGCTGACTGTTCAACATATGTTAAGCGATTAAGTATGGTATCTGGTAACTGTATAGTGGGAAGATAGACAGAAAGTGAAGAAAAAAGGGAGCTACCATCACAAACGAGTCATGGGCAGAACTGGCAAATGCTAGGGAAGTACAGGAAAAATTTATTTTCTGGGTAGGTAGGACATAATAATCTCCAATCTTGTTGAAATATGTTGTCTTTAAACTAATTTATCCACATCAGAAATGTAGAATATTCTCATTAAAGTCATAAAATGCTCTCTTTAAGTGTGTAGTTGGAAATTTTGTAGGAAGTTAATTGAGGTGCTTCAGGCAATAGCGTATTCTATGTCATTCTTTTTATTTTATCTTGTACCACTGTTGCCTGGAGAGCCTCAATTAATAAAGAAACTTTGTATTCTAAACAGAATATCAGTTAAAGACCTTGTCATATTGATGTATGTTGAAAAATACTGAATTTTCTTTTAAATCGACTCTTCTGGTCTAGATTAGTTAGTTGTGATTATGGGTTTGGATTTGCCTATTTTGATCAGAAACTTGTCTGTTGTGTGGCATCAAATGTGACATGACCTAATTGTTACATCACGAATCAGTTATCTTGATCAATGTTACAGATCTTTTTCCTTGCAAGATGTACTCTGTAGGTATACAGCAGAAATGCTTGATGTCTCTATGTAAAATGAGAGAAGTACCAGTATTGCAAGTTAGCGTTAAAATAGTGAGCTGTGTCAGCTTTTAATAAAGTGGAGATTTCACCAATAGTGATATATTACTTTATCAATCTGTTAGAAAGATTATCTGAAATATTTGATATGTAAATGGTTTATTGTGTAGTTTGAGATTTAATTCTAATCTGTGATGTCTGCATTTTAGCTGGTTTTTTCCTTATCTGCTAGCTACAAACTGCTTGTAAGAAAATTCAGTTAATTTTTTCTCCTGGTTAAGGAAATAGCTTTGTGTTGATTAAGCAATATCAAAAAATTATAGTGGTCTGCTTTTATTCTACTTAAACATAAATAATTTCCTTTCATGATGACCATGATAACAATTTTAACAGCAAAGTTTTTGTAAATTTTGACAACCTATTGCTTATTCTCAAAGTTGCAGTGCATTACAAATTTTTTGCTCCAAGTATGTTGAAATGTGTCTGAGTCTGGGCTTCTGAACTCTGTTCCTATTAAAATTACCATATAAATAGGGGCAGAATTGGACCGGTATGAGATTTTTGGATAAAGCAGGAGGAAGAAAAGGCACCATGATTTGCAAATAGGCAGCATGTTTGTGACAGATGTCTTCCTCTCCATACGTCTGTTGAGTGGATAAATCTATTTTTTTTCTTTCCATGTTTATAGCGGTATTGTCACCAAACATCTGTTTGTGCACTGAAAAATATTAACATTTAGATTTTTTCAGTGCTTTGTAGTCTTTGTATTATCTATAATTGTTGAAATAATGTACCTGATATGTTTGTTTCTTAATTGTGGCAGGGCAGACTGATGAATTGGACAGCTATATGTATCAGACAGTAGGACACCATGCCATTGACCTGTATGCTGATGCACTGGATTTGCCACTCTATCGTGGTTTCATAAAGGGTACCAGTGTAAATACTGGAAGAGTGTATACGGCATGCCAGGAGGATGAGGTTGAAGACCTTTACCATCTCATGAAACTTGTTAAGGTATGCTGATTGGAAAGAATTATATGGTTGTGAATAATTATGTTGCTTAACTCTTTTATGAATTTACGTAAATGGTCCACTTAGGTATTTATGGAAAGCTTTGAGAAAAAAACGGAACACTTTTACAGGTTTTATTTCTATTCCTTTCTTTCTTCCTGGCACTGTAAATATAAAACATAACTAAGTATCTTTTTCCCACAATGTGAATCAGACTTATTAATCCCCATTTCAAGCCAAAACCTTGTTTCTATTAATTAAAAATACCTGTAACAGTTGCTTGGCATATACGACAAAAAACATAATTGTGACAATCATCTATAAATAGAATGTTTAAGTTGCTTTGTATTTGAAATAATGCATCACTTCATTACTGTAATGAGAGATCTTTGGGATTTGAGGCATTTACCAATGTATTGAAAGTAATGTCTAGACGTTTCCATTTGAGTACACTTGTGCTCTGTAACCAGAATCTGCTATTTGTCTGTATGTTACAGATCATTTATGAAGTATTATAGAATATTATACAGTGATAGTTTTGATCCTGGTAGTCCTGTATCTATATTCTAATATATGACATCATAGCAGTACCATTTATCAATCCTTTTTAGCTATAAAATCAATTAAAGGGAGATGATGAGCTTATTATCTAAAGCACTTAAAATTTATTCTGTTCTTTTTCAAAATCTGTCATGTAGTACTTTATTTTCTACCAGAATTAAATCAAATCTCATTGAAAAAAATAGAAAACCTCCCATTGACTCTAGAGGTTTCCCACAGAGTTTGAATGAACATGCTATGTTTTCAGCTAATTGTGTTGATGACTGCTGTGCAAAATACTAAAACCAGTACAATGTTCAGAACATCATAATTGTTATCTTAAAGAAAGTAAATACATAATTTTATTGATCAAACTGGTAGACTACTTTCTGAAACTTCAATTAAAGATCTTTTTAGTCTTCAGATCAGGTATTGAACATTAATTATCTAGCTCCTTTTCTTTCACTGAAATAGAATTGAGATTCATGAACCTAAGAGCTTCAGGTTTTATTCTGTGTTCAGTTTAAAACCAGATCAAATTGCAGATAAGACCCCAAAATGTGGTTGGAGTGCAGAGTGCTTCCTGAACCATCTTGCAGTCAAATGTTACATCTTCTAAACATTTTTGGCAGGAAAATCCTGTTCATCTAAAGTAAAATCAAGATCATACACCTGTGTTGGAGTATGACACTACGAAACAGTAGAATAGTGCACGTAGGCACTACAGCCTCAAATTGTGCTGGGGAGGTTTAAATTGGATATTAGGAAAAATTTCTTCACTGAGAGGGTTATCAAGCATTGGAACAGGCTGCCCAGGGAAACTGTCTCTGGAGGTATTTAAGACATGTAGACTGGGTGCCTAGGGACGTGGTTTAGTGGTGAATTTGGCAGTGTTAGGTTAGTGGTTGGACTTGATGATTTCAAGGGTCTTTTGCAACCTAAATGATTCTATGATTATGCTCTAGAGTGCTTCATAGAGGTTTTAAATGGAATGTGCATATCACACAGTACAGGAATCAAAGGCAATATGATACAGCAGTTTTAAATTATTTTTGAACCATGATAGTATTAGAAAGTAGAAGGACTAGTATCTGCTGTCTCTTAAAGCTGCATACTAACAGCTTTCTGCTGCTGGGTAAGATAATAAATTGCTGATCAATTTAATTAAAAATGGGCAAATTAGTGGCAATTAAGAGGATACTTCCTTTACGATTCTTGCTGTCTTTGGAGGAATGGATGCCTGACATAAATTAATGCTAATGTTAAATCTTGACAACTTCTGCTTTGGAAGTTTGTACATGATAATTATAACTATAGTTGAAAGAGATGTTATCAAGTTGTCTGGAACTAAGTAACTATTTCTTTCCTATATAGAAATATTAATTTCACTGTGCGATATCTTAAATCATACATATTAACAATATACTGCTTTTATATTAGACTTTGTATAACTATGTTTTTAGAGTCAAACCTAGCTATGAAATTCTGATGCAAAAGTTTCAGGAAGATGTCTCACATATTTTGATGAGTAATGACAAAATTATCAGAGGGACATAAACTACAGCAGCTGTGTTTTTTTAATATTAAGAAAAAGACTAACATTTTTCTTCTCTGTGTTAACAGTAACTTTGAAAGCTTTCTGGTTTTATTTTTTTCACATTTTTTAATAACTACTGTTTAGTAGCTTTATTACGTAAGTCTTAATCACTGAGGATTTTGCTTTAGGAATTTTTTTACCCAGATGTTAATAGTTTTAAACAGAGAAGTCAATTTGCATTCTCTTGAAGGGAGGGGAGGAATTTTGTGGAAGCCTTGTCAAAACCATCCTTGAGTGGTTGTAATTTTAAAACACTGGTCAAATAACATAGCTCTGTTTTTCTGTTAAATGGTTCGGGGCCAAGAATACGGGAAAGGTGTGTCTAGATCAAAATGACATAGTGTGCCTCACTTTCTGTTTGCAAAGAATGCTTGTATTGCAAGTACTTCTTTAGTAAAAAAATTAAAAGAAAACACATTTGAAAAACTCTATGAATTTGAAAGTATTCAGTGTTTCTAAAAACAACGTTATTAGAACAAGATTGCTAGAAAGTAAAATATTCCCTTGCAGTTCTGGGAAAACCAGGACAACAATCCTGTTCTAGTCCATGTGCTTCAGCGAGTGATATTGACTGCCAATGATTGTAAACCTGTTAATTTTATTGTCACAAAACCAGATGATTGATAGGTATAAAGGAAATTTGTATTTATTTTTTAGTTGGCTAATACCATGTTTTAGATTCTGTATTCAATATATATTGTGAAAGATATCAGAGTATTTATATGATGTCTAAATGTATCTCCCTAGGCAGTCCTCACCTGATAGTAGAATATTTACATTGTAAGGAGTGTAAATCCTGAACTCTAAGGAATAATTTAATCTCCTTTCAGTGTTACTGAATAGGGATTACTGACACCCTTGTTTGTCCATGTTTGTATTGGAGATTTTCCCAGCAAAGTGTGTAAGCACTAGTGTTTCTTAGTTACCTGAATTATCCTTCATTCATATTTTCATTTAGAAATGTGGGGGGAAACTGTATTTCATTCCCTCTAGTGGTGGGAAAGACTGGAGTGTGGAGAGCTTTGGGGAAACTTTCCTACAACATCTCAGTTTAGGTATATTGAACTGTTTTCTCCTCTTTTCTATGTAATTATGATCTTGTTCAAATAATACATTGATGATTTATGCAAGCACATACAGAAGTGCTATTAGATGGGTTGAATGTTGGATTATTTTCTGTATCTCATGGAACTATGGCTTAACTTTTGTTTAGCAGCTTCCAGACTGTACAAACCAATACATGATAATTTATTTCAATGCTCGATTTCAGTAGACAGTTCTGTCCTCTTTCAAATTTCTTGCCTTATCTCCTCTACTCAGTGAAGTCTTTGCCTTTTTTTGGTAAGTTTCCACTGCTGAAGTAATTTGCAGAGTTCTTGAATTTGATAAAAATATTTTTCTCCTAGCTGCTTTTTTTTCCCATTTTTTTTCAATAACAGGTTTAATTGCTTGAGGTTTTTTTAATGAGTATTTTAAAAATTTGATTCTATATATAGTTCCTTTATAATATATTTCCCTGTGTTTATTATAAATAATGAAAATGTATTTTTAGTGGATTTTCAGTTTCAACATATAATTTCTCTCAGAATTCTTTTTACTGTGCAGTTTGTGGATTCAGAACCTGCAAGCTTACAAAAAAAATGGAGTCCACTTGAAGGAAATTTATATATCGGTGCTCAGGGCTGAAGGAATATTAATTATGAAATCATCTATTGATCATCAACTGAAAAATAAGAATTGATGTTGGATATATTTGATGTATGAAACATTTGAATAATAATAACCTTTGCTTATGGCACTGTTTCATTTTATCAGTAATGTGGAAGGGCAAAGAAAGAAAATTTATTTTCTAAAATATTGTCACATTCTGGAGCAGTGATCTTATAACTCAGTCAGTCACTAAGAATATGTAAAGTATTTTTAGTTCTGGAAACAAAGAGCTTAGTAAGACAGTGTAACTTCTGTATTTAATAGTTATTTTTAAGGACAGGATCACAATTTTTTAACTGGTCCCAGACTGATGTTTACTGAAGATGGAAAGTATTCCTGCCTAAGAGTTAAAATTACAATAGCAATGACATTTTAGATATTATTTAAGATGATATTTTGTCTCAGACAAGGTGTATTAACTGTGTGGGTTCAGGTGGAATAGAAGTAACTTAGGTGCTATAAGTATTCAGTGAAGCTCCTTGAGACTTGGAAGTCTTCAGAAAGCAGTTCTTTGGAGTTTGGGATGAATGGATGAAATACGCAAGGCTGTTCTGTGACCTTCAGATGGGGATTAATTCCCTCACAGAACATAAAGCTTTCAGTTCTTTGGTATTGCTAATAGTCTTCCATGCTAAGAAAACAGTCTTCCTTTCACCCTTCTCCAGAATTCAGGTGCTTTGGCCAATGGGTAAAAAGAGTTCTCATATTCAGTTTGTTGACTGACTTTCTGTGGCTTTTGTACAGCCAAAGGTGTATTTTTCCTCCCACCAGGAAAAATACATGAAGAAATATAACATAGCGTGTTACTGCAGGTGTTGCTTCCTTGTGTTCACTGTCATAAAATGCATTTAAAAGAAATAGTAAAGTATATAGGAATAGCCATTTGGCTTTTAGGTGTCCATTTTAAATCAACTCTTGGTATACATTTGTGTGGCTTCAGTTTTAGTATGTGCATTATAAAGACTAGTAGTGTACTCTTAACTCATACAGATAAGGTTTGCAGAATTTCTTAGGAGTCTTAAAGATCTCAGTAATTCTTAGCTATCGAATCCTGATGGACTTCAGGAATCTGTAATCTGAGGTTCTCACCATGATGTTCACCAAACTATTTTTGCAGCTTTTAAGTTCAAACAAAGGAGGTAGCTTCCCCCTCTCA